AAGGCAATTCTTGTTAACCTTGTGTCGCTGCATTTTGCTGGTCCCGACCCTACCACTTGTAGTCTGGACTTCCTATTACCATCTTATGATTTTTCCTTTCTTCTTTTTGCTTACTCATGAGATATATAATAAAAAAATAATTTTTTATTTAAAATTTTTTTATACTTATTTTACAACTAATATATTTTTTTATTTAATTAAAAATAAAAATTAATGGATGATTACATTATGATTTTTCCTTTCTTCTTTTTGCTTACTCATGAGATATATAATAAAAAAATAATTTTTTATTTAAAATTTTTTTATACTTATTTTACAATTTAAATTTAAATATGTTAATATAGAAACTTGAATTTTTTTAATATGGGTGGAATCTCCTCTTCTTAACTTAGGAGGAAGGGCCTTCTTTGATTATTTGTCTTCACAAGGTGACTCAGGGAGTATTGAACATTTTTTTTTTTTTTTTGATTTTTGTTGTGTAGTAAGAGTCAATTATCTCTCATTTTTTATCTCATTTTATTTGCATATTATGCTATTTAAATGTAGGACTATTTACTTTTAACAGAAAAAGATCACTATTAAATTATTTAAAATATTTATGAGAAATATTAAACCATTGATTATTTGTTTCCTTGTGAATGTGAATGATGTCACCCATTGTCAGCGTGAGCTCTGAAAGGCACGGGTGGACCGAAAAATCTATGATGGAAAAAAAAAAAAATTGAAAACCAATAAAACCACATGATTAGAAGGGTTTGATTAAGTTTTGGATTTGACTAAGTTGTAGGTTTATTGTGAACGCGGCAGCTTTCGTTGGGAGACTCACCCATCATCTCCAGGTGCGTGACGCGGGTTGATCTGGATTAGTCGGGGTAAAACCCGGATACCGGACGAGAAACCCAAAAAAAAAAAAAAAAGTTGTAGGTTTATTTGATTAAAAATTAAATTATATTGATTTTAAATAGTTTAAGTTTTGGTTGTTAAGGTAAAATTGAAAAATTAATGACTAGGAGAGTATATATATGAAAAGTTCGATCCAAAAGTTTTTAATGTAAAATTTTAATAGTTTTTAAATTTTTTAAAGATTTTTTTTTTGTTTTTTAAATCAAATAATTTATTTATTTAAGTAATTTTTAATTTTTTAGTAATTGAAATTAATAAAATAATAATTAAAATTTTAAAAAATATAATTTTGTGATTAAAACCAAAATCGATTAAAATAGTTACCCTTAAAAGTGTAATCAAAATTAATAAAATTTGTTCTTTTCAATCTAGTTAATAATTATTAAAATTTAAAATCTAAAATTTTAAATTTCAGTTGTAATCAAAATCAAAGCATACCCACCCTTTTTACTAAAAAGGCAATTCTTGTTAACCTCGTGTGGCTTCACCCCTGCTGGTCTCGACCCTGCGACATGCATCCTGTGATGTTGGGGAAGGCCTTTTGAGTTTTAATGCATTTTCACACAGTTGGCACT